AAGTCGTCTCTCCTTCTGGTGTGCCGAGATTTTCTGCCTTTTTTCATGGCAACCCCTGATATTTTTCAATCAGATGACTCACCTTTGATTTAAATTTTCATCAGCACTCTGGTTAAACTTCAACTTCCCTACAAAGCACAGCTCTTGCAGAGTTATTACAGCCCGGGCCTGATGCTGCCTGTGATAATAAAGGTGACAATTTGGCCTGATTATTTCCTTTACCGGCACCAGGAGGCACAACAATGCATCAGAGTTCATATCTATGAAAACTGATGAAATAATTGTGTCCGCGGGGAAATCAGAAACGAGTCTCATACCTAATTCAAAAGAATGCTTTTATTGGCATCACACATCCAACTGAAACGTGCACGTCTGTTATTTTGACATGTGTTTTGTTCTTGTTTTTTGTTTGGTTTAATCTCAACAATTGTAATGGACACAGTCTCTATTTGAAAGAGCTCACTGAGATAATGCTGTCGCCAGGCTCCAACGCTCACACGCTAAATGGAAATTGCAATGACAACAGCAAAATACAGAGACATACCCCACCAGAACAGACCAGACCAGCAGTCTGCCAGCAATTTATTATCAAGAGTCCAGAAAGAATACATATTTAGAACTAATTTGTCTTTGGCTTTGTGTGTGTGTGAGTGTCAGTGTATGCGTAAAAGAGACAGAGAGGGATAGAGAGAGAGACAGAGAAAGAGAGAGGGAGACAAAGAGAGAGACAGAGAGACAGAGACAGAGAGAGAGGGAGAGACTTTATGGTCTACCCGCTCTTGTTTATTCTCTCATGTTCCTGTATTTGATTTGACGTAGGAGTATTGTGTTTGGGATTATGCTGAGATCACAACTGTATTCACTTGAGTTCAATACCATGTTATTAACACCTGTAGGGCTGGTGACTATTTATTCAATAAGCATGGACTTAGTCTTGGAGCGAGAGAAGGAACACTAGTTTCTAGCCCAGGGATACGGGGATTTCCTCTGTCCGGTTTTTAAAAAGAAAAAAAGCAGAAGTTCACATACATGATGTCCCTCAACCATTTCTTATTTATATTGTACTTTATCTTTACTTTTTTATCTTTATTTATTACATAAAAAAAAAAACTCATATATGGCGGATGCCTTTGGAAGTTGTTGGTGGTAGCCCTTGTGCTGCACTGGAAAAATACATTTCCAGACAGTTTTGTATGTGAACTTGAGCCCTGAATCTGAAACAGTTGATAAATGAAGCAAGTGTTCAAAATAAGTTTGTCTTTTTTCTTCCTTTTTTCTTGCCCTATAGAAGGGATTCCCAAAAATTTGGTTATTCCATATGATAAAGACGTACATATATACATAAATATAAATATATATGCATATTTACAAATATACATAGACATTTATATTACATATACATTTATAGTATATATATTATATTATAGAATGTATATATATATATTTATCTATATTGGGATAAAGAATAAAAATATTATATTATATATTTATTTAAACTTGACCTAAAGAAGTATCGGTGACAGTACTCAATACCGGTGAGTACACAAATGAGAATACTCTGGACAACCCTATCAGACACAGTGTAAATTATTCCCCTTAAAGTCTGATACATTTAACGTTCCCCGGGGCTCGAACCAGCATCTGGGAAAAGAAGGGGAAAAAATAAACTATGAATGCACAATGAAAAAAAAAAGAAGAAAGAAAAAGCCCTGGTCAAAGAGAGGGCTGTAAATAACTAACAGAGGCGATAATAATCAACCTTCAACGTGTCGGTTTTATTTGAATCAGGCTCTTTCAGGGTAAAGCACACAAACAACAGCTGTGGCTGATGGCTCACGCACAGTTCACTGTACGTAAAACAATGTGTTATTTGTGCCTCGCATTTCTTTACCCCTGAGCAGAGAACAGCAAATGATGAGCATATTAAACAATACAAAACAACATGTCTAACCTAGATCCTGACTTTGCTTTAATAAAAAAGTCTTTGTACCTCGTCCTTTTCTCTCTCACACACACATACACACACACACACACATATTTAGTTGGCCTTTCGGGTGTAGTGTGCAGCAGAATGTTCTTCAAACCCATGCAGTAGACAGTATGTACAGTGTTCATATTACCGGATACTTCTTTCATCAATAAACTAATAAATGAAACCCAATATATGCCCCATACCTCGGGCAAATATTGGGTTTCATCAGTATTGTGTGTGTGTGTTTTTTCCCATTCTCTCTTTCGCTCTCTCTGTCTGTCTGTCTGTCTGTCTGTCTGTGTCTCTCTCTCTCGCTCCCCTCTTTCTCCTCCTCTTTCTCTCTCTCTCTCTCTCCCTCTCCGGTGAGTCCACTGCTTTGTATTCCAGTTGAAGCTACAGAATGGGGAGCTGAGGGACGGAGTGTTACACACAGTGTTACACACTGTAAACACACACACCTCACCACGTCCCTGTGCCTGACTGTGACGCTTTCACCTCCTTTTGCACAGCCATGAATATGGAAATCAATTGAGGACAGAGAAGTGGCCCAGCCACTTCAATGCTGAGTGAAAATGTTTTTGTATGTGTGTGTGTGTGTGTAGGGCATTATTTGCTGAGGAATTCACAAACTGTCCATCAGCATAAATCAATTACAATTCACATTAGACTTGTTGACCTAAAAAAAAAGTGTGTGCGTGTGTGTGAGTGTGTGAGTGTGAATGTGTGTGAGACGTTCCATGACTTGAATGCAGTGTGTGACACTTGGCACCGGATGAAACATCCAGTCTGAGGGCATATGTGATATTTGGCGACATACTTTAATCCCTGATAGACTCCCTCTGTGTCTCTCCTGCACCGGGGTCAACAATACTGCTGCGGCCCACTCCTCATTAAGAATACAGATATTTCAATGACATTTCAGGCTGCCCTCAGACATTAGTGTCATGGATTATTTCCTGGAGTTGGCTCCCTGATCTGCAGCAGTTGGAGGGGGGCTTGAAAAATCGAGCTGTAATTTAAAAAAAAAAAAGGAACTACATTAGCGTCTGATTTATGGATCATAAATAGCCAAGATATGTTTCAAGGATTCCTCAAAGTGAGTCATTAATCATCGACATCCACAAACTGAATATGATTGGTTAAATATCACTGACATGTGACAGGGTTTAAACTTCATATCAAGAGAAAATTGACAAGGACAAGTCAGTGTAAATTTATGATTTATTATTTCCATCCATCCATCATCAACCGCTTATTTTATTTTATTTTATTTTATTTTATTTTATTTTATTTTATTTTATTTTATTACTTTTTCAGTGGTCTGTATTTCTCCTACATTGAGTCTCAAAGTCATATGTTTATGAGAATGAAGTCACTAGTTGATACAGTTAAGTCACATGTTTATGAGAGGTTGTCATATTAAAGGAAGACACATGTTCATTACAGGGAGTGATACATTCTCAGAAACCGTCTTCTTCTTCTTCTTCTTCTTCTTCTTCTTCTTGTAAATGTGTCTCTTCTGCTGAACTCCCACTAAATCAGTCAAATGATCGCCTTTTAAGGCGATTTATTTTCATTACTGTCTACTGCTGATTCTCCAGTGCATTGTGGGAACAGTTGGATCTATAGTTGACCTGAATTCCAACACAGGGTTAATGAATAGTTACACTAATCCTCAACACTTAAATGAATTTAAATTGATTCATTAACCTGATCCAGAATCTGGACAAGGGGATTTGAAACAACAACCTTCTGGCTGTGAGACGAATCACAGTTCTGTTGACATGTGACAAACGGCTAAAAAGTGACCAAACAGGAACTGCTACCAAGCTAAGTGTTAGATGTTTCCTTTGTTCAACTCCAGAAATAGGAATTTCACCAAAAACATAGCATCTCATTCATTCATTCAAAGTTCAAGGCCTTTTTTTTTACCCATAATCCTCCAAGTGAGAGAAGCTTTTTGTCACCATCAGTAGACAAACATCCTGGTGTTAAAAACCCTGCTTCTTCCATCAGGAGGCATCTTTTCAACCCGTGTCCTTGTGAGAATTGATCAAATAAATGAAGTGGGAAACAAATCCATTTTTTTAAAGTAACTTTATTTCAAAAGTGTTGAAGGATGATGACAGATGGGGAGGCTAAAGGGGGGGGGTAAGTGATTGTGTGTGTATGTGAGTGTCAGATCATACAGCATGGTCTGCACACAAACACACACACACACACAGTGTGGTGCGAGTCAACACAGGCGTCTGTCACATTTAGGCTATAATACATTTTTAAAGATCAGCGAAGCTTCATTCGTACCTCATAAAGCCCTGGTGAGGCGGAAATTACAATTTGATGTGGTGGAAAAAGCCGTCAATCTGTGACTTTTTTTTCTTATCTCAAAGCTGAATGAAGAGAAAAAAAAACACACATCTGAGGAGAGAAGGGAGCAGCATAAATAAAAAAAGCCACATTTCTCACTCTCCAACCATTTGGTTTAATCAGTTATTTGATTCTGCGAGCAGCTCGGCGTTGCGTGGTGTCGTAGCCTGTATATCATCCAACTGAAAGTGACAGATGCTATTGATACGGCCACGCTCCATTATGTGTTCAGGAAGCGTCTGGAGAGACGTGTTCTCCACCGCGTTTGATAAGTTGTGCGTTCCACACTGTTGTGCTTGTGTGCAGGACTCACCACGCAGGTGAAACGGCGAGCACAAATGTGGCCTTGTAAGCTCAGAGTTTCCCACATAACGCATGGGTTTCACCCGTAAATCCCCCTCCCACCCCCCCAGACTCCCCAGTCTGAATAAAGCTCAGTCTCACAAAGCCAAGAGTGAATGAGTGTTGTGAATTGATTTTGCTGTAATTTAGCGTATTAGGAATCTGTACAGTGTTCTTCACTCTTGAGCGGCTTCGGTGCAATAGCCTCCAGAATTAAATCACTCCAAGTGAGGAATAAATAGGTACCAGACAGAAAACACCTAATGATCTGAATAAATAATACAGCTTTTTTTGTGTTTTTTTGTGTTTTTTTTTTTTTTTTTTTTTTTTTTTTTTTTTTTTTTGTTAAACCTCAGCTTCTCGTCACGTACACTGTCATTGAAGGAATATTCCTGTAGAACCACAGCAAGTCAGTTATCACTGCTTCAGCCCAGAGTCATTTGTGGCCCTTTGGTCCCTTAATGGTGATGAGTTTTAAAAAAAAAACTATTAACTCAGTAAGACTTTGACTATTCATTCAGTCAATGTGTCCATGTGGGGCTGCACCGCGGCCCAGTTCAGGGTCCAGCTGAATCCCTTGGAAAAACACTGCACCACCTTACTCTTTCCACATGGGTTTCTACATACAATCCCAGCCACTGATCTTTCTATGCAGTGAAACATTCATGTGTGAAGACAGCCCAGCGCACCCTGCTGGTCTCAGTTCTAATGAATATTACAGTAGATCTGTAGAACAGAGCAGCAGAAAAAAAGAAAACCAAAACATTAAAGTCGACACGCATGCCACACACACACACACACACACACATACACACACACTGGTCAGCGTAACTAGACAAATCAGTAAAAGTGAAGTGTCACTGCTGAAAGCCCTTGTCCCATTGAGTCAATAGCCTGTTGTGCTGTTCACGGTTACAGACACATTTTTGAGTTTTGTTTTTTTTTTGGCGAGAAAACAGAGGGAGCCCGAGTCACTTCATGAGAAAAAATAAATGCACCGTTCATCTTTCATCCAAACACGGCGATGGGAGAGAGCTACCCTGCAGGTGATGATCAGAGTGAGTCAGCCAAATGGTTCCCCCATAAAGAGTGTGTGTAGGTGTAATTGGTGCTATCATTTTCACATGCATATTTGCATTGTTCATCTGCCTAACGTAAATATCTCCCTGGTATGAGGCCAAGTCACATTACTGTACATGACTAAACATCCCAGTGCTGATTAGAGCGGGTGCTTAGGACACTGGAGATTGTCAGATGAAAAGAAACAGGGAAACAGCAACAAGGAGGAGGAGGTGCAAATGGGAGGAGGAGAAGGGAGATGACACCGTCTCACCTAAACATCTCAATAAGGTTCATGTAGCTTCCTTCTCAGTCCCTCAAATCCAGCAGGCTTGTTGGGCTGATCCAGTGTGTCAGGATGAGAGGAGAGTGTGTGCTGTTACAGACAACCTGAGTGTCCACTCAGGCACACCCTGTGCCTGTGACGTGAACATGTCTGTCCTCGGTCCAGTAAGAAAGGCTGCCCTTGTCTGTGCCGTTACCTTGAACATCAGAAACCGAGGCTTGTTGTTGAGATACAATCAGGAGAAACACATGTTTGCCCTACAGCGGGGGCAAATTAAGACTGCAGATGTAAGAAATCCCCACCATCCTTGTGGGCTCCTTGTGCTCTGTATTGATGAAAAAAAAAGGGCCGTACAGGCTTACGGCAATCTAAGGTCACTTTTTTTGTTACGTTTTTTTTTTTTTCTTTTTCTTAATTTCTTAATTTTTCCCACCAGTTTCCCTTTTCCAGTATTTCTGGAGTTTAAAACAATAAATATGTCATTCATTAAAGATTTCTGTACTTAATTCAATTTTTATAATCATTTTTTCTATATTCAATAAAAGTAGAAGAATTTCCTTCTTTTCCTGCTCTACCCTATTTTCCTCATCACCAATTTTTTTTTTTTTTTTTACTTCCTGCCAAGTCTTATCAGTAACACTGAAGTGGTGAGGAGCTCTCCTGATTCTAGATCTGCATCCACTAAGTCCTGTCTCAGATTGTGGTCAAAGGAAGAGGACGTATCAAAATTTGGTCAACGAGACGTGAGCTGTGATTTTCAGTCTCTGTTTGTGCGAATGTTGTCTATAGAAACTGTCACCCTCCGCAGTTGAAATGCTTTCAGACAGCCCTTTTATGTGCTCTGAGTTTTTTTTCTTTTTTTCTTCTGCGTCTTAAGATAGTGCTTTTTTGTCCACGTGTGTCGCCCGTAATATTTGACCCTAATAGAATGTACCTTTGGTGCCGCTGCACAAGATCTTCTTGAAGGCTTGTCTGAAGTCTTTGTTGAAGATTGTGTATATGACCGGGTTGAGTGAGGAGTTGCAATAACCGATCCAGAAGAAAAACTTGAAGAGTGGATCCGGTATGGCGCACGTCTCTGGACACACTGCCTGTAGGGAGTAGGAGAAGAAGAAGGGGAACCAGCAGACCACAAAGACCCCGATGACCACTGCCAGGACGAAAGTGAAACGTTTCTCTCTGTTGATCATGGCTTTACGCCTGGCCGCGCCGGGGTTGTTGTCAGTTTTGGATTTTCTGCCCGGCACCAGCCGACTCCCCTTTGAAGTGGCGAGCATGTCCCGGTAGCGTTTGATTGAGACTGGGGAGCGGAAGCTGCCCCCTGCGGGTGACCCCGGCATGCTGGCGCTGCCGTGACCCCCACCCTGGCTGTGCTCCATCTCGCTCTCTGTGCTGGAGCTATCACCATTGTTGTTGTCAGCCTTTTTATCTCCCAGTCGCTTAGCTTTCTTCTTCTCCTCCTCGTTACTCCTGACGGGGTCCGAAGGGTGCTCTGAGGAGGCCGTGTCGGGGGTCACCGCTTCAGAAATGTGTGGGGGCTGCAGGAGGTTATTGTCTGTGGGGTTCTGGGATCTTGGAGACCCCTCTTGTGATAGAGAAGAAGCGATGGCGAGGGTCGGAGGTCTGACGCTGGAGGTCTTACTGGATGTTGGGGGTGTGGTCTCCTTCTCCTCCTTCCCATTGGCCTCCACATGCCTCGCAGGTTGACCTGGTGTGGCACAGCCGACGCCATCCTTCCTGGGCTCTCCTGGTGGGCAGCGTGTTCTCTGTTTGGCTATCTGGTAGATCCTCAAATAGACCAGGATCATGATGAGGCAGGGGGCGAAGAAGGAGCCGATGGTGGAGTAGAGGATGTACCAGCGTTCGTCGTTGAGCTCACACTGGGGTCCTCGCTCGCTGCCTTGATCTCCGGTCTCGCTTTTGTTCAGCGAGAGAAGAGGAGGGGAAGAGATGATGGCAGAGATCAACCACACCACCACTATGGCTGCTTTGATGCGTTTGGGAGTCCGCTGACGCCCGTAGGTGACCCTGGAAATGGAGAGATAGCGGTCCAGGGAGATGGCGCACAGGTGCACAATGGAGGAAGTGCAGAACAGCACGTCCAGCGCCAGGTAGATCTCACACCACAGAGACTTGAAGTACCAGTAGCCAAGGAGCTCGTTGGCCAGTGAGAACGGGATGATGAGGGTGGCCACCAGGATATCCGCAGCAGCCAGAGACACCAAGAACAGATTCTGTGGACCACGCAGCGACCTGCTGGTCAGCACAGCAATGATTACCATGATGTTGCCCACGATAGTGAAGAGCACCATCAGAGTTATGGCTGTGGCGAAGGCCGCAGTGGCTTCGGGGGAGTAAGGAGCGGCTTTCAGGACGCTCTGGTTACAGGGGACGGAGCCTCCAGATCCGCTCACGCTGCTGTTCCAACTGCTCAGCTCCATGGAGCAGCTGCTGTCCAGCACTGAGGCCATGTTTAGATCAGCTCTGCGGGGTTCTTTACAGACAAAAATAAAAGTAAAAACAAAAAAACAAAAAAACCCAAAAACTAATTATGTAACCTACAGTAACACTGTTTGGACTATTTTTTAATTAAAGTGTGAATAAAACTCGTACATTATCTACCTTAGTGGCTTTCAATTACTTCTGGCGTCATTTCCAGGCGTCCCCGCATCTTCCACGGCAAGTCTTCCAAGTCCATTCTGATCACACCAACAGTCCTGGGCAGTGCGTCAAGACGCGGATCAGCACCTTTTAATTAAAAAGTCTCGGCCAATTTGTCGAACAGATTGTTCTGGAACAAACGCTGAGCTGTTCCGTGACACTGCCCGCTGCGTAAATCTGTCTGTGGAGAGTTGCTTCTTCTTTAACGCGCAGCTTTAGGTCAGTTTTTTTTCCACTGTCACTTCATGTCTGCCTTGAAGAAAAGGATCTCAGTGGATAATAATCTCATTTTGGGTTGTGCGCACGAAGCGGGTCTGAACACAAGGGATTCTAACAGTCAATCATCTACAGATAACCGCGTGCGTCCTCGTTTGGAGATGCGCATAATTCTGAGCCTTCTGCTCCGTGGTCAGCAGCCACGGAATGTCCATCAAAAGTTGTTTTGGGTGTAATTACAGCGTCTCAGTCATAAACAGGACGCCTGAGCTTTCCATCAATCAAACCAGCAGGAGAAAACCCAAAGTTAACTTCCTAGTTTTCTACCACAGCGCACGGAACCGTAGAGTCGCTCCAAACGCAGGGCTTCCCTCGGGAGTGGTGTGAGAGTGGTTCCTGCAGAACAGCTTCATCCTGTTCCTTCCCGAGCTTCTCTCTGTCTGTCTCTTGTGGTGGCTGAGATGAAGCCGCTCTGATGGCGCACATCACAGCCTGGCGCACAGCAGCATCTCCACTTGTGAACAGGATCTTATGAAATCTATTAACTGGGTGCCTCCCATCTCCCTCTTTCTCTCTCTCTCTCTCTCTCTCTCTCTGTCTGTCTTTCTCTCTCTCTCTTTCTTGCGCCGGTGATGTCACAGTTAAACCGAGGGCATCATGGGATCGTTTTACCTCACCCTATTCTACTTTAAAGTCTTTCTAACTTACTCTTATAAAATAAATTGAGATAAAACCAATTCATCATCATCATCATCGCATCATAATCATTCATCAATATCATTATCATGGACCTCATCGCCATTATCATTGTCATGTTTTTTTTTTAATATTTTGACTACTGTATATTGTCATCATCATCATCATCATTATCATCATTTGTGTATGATGTATGGTATAATCATCATTGCATATATCACTGTTAACAAACATTTAAAAAATGACAACATTTGTAACACATCCTTAAACATGTAGTGACATTATAAATAATTTACACCTGAATTTCTACTTCACGTCATATAACATTGTCTTCCAAAGCACCAAAAAATAACCAAAACTTTTTTTTGCTCAGCAAAAAAGATGTCCAATAGTCAGACCACCAACATTTCAACCACATTATCTACCAATTGTGTGAGCTCAACTGCTGGTATAATATATACAGGAGCTTATTTATTCCAGTGTTGGCCATGGAATACACATTATGTAACTGTGTCACTTTTTTTCCTTACTGGTGTTTTCAATACAAGACACCACCTAAACATTCTGCTGCCTTTATCTGTTGTGTAGTATGAGTCCTGCTCTTTATATGAGACATTCATTTGTTGAACTCTTGTTGGGAGACTTGTAAACACAGAGAATAAATATGTTATACAGTATCTCCCCTCAAGTACCAACACATGTTTACTATTCATAGAAATAAGATGCTGAGGGATTTTTAAAGGTCTTGCGCCACATGACATAGTGATGACTCAGTGAAAAACATGCAGGTTAATTGAAGGTGGCAAGGCCTAGGTAAGAACCAGTCATCAATAAGAACCTTAAGCAGTGTTTGTATGGCCACCTGCCAGGAAACGAGGGGAATTACATGCGCCTCTTCAGTTCTGGGATCTTCATTGTGACCTGCATGATTATTTCTCATGTATACAATTCCACCCTGAAACGATCCAAACACTTCAGGGCAGAAAAAAGGAAGCAGAGGGCTGTGTCCCTGGAGAGGTATAAACAACAATACATTCTTACTGTAGAAAACTTGATATGATAGTATTCCTGCATTCTATTCCTGTATTCTACTCTATAACTTCAGCACAAAGATATTGTGGGGGTCATGATCATGAGTTCTTTAATTTAATTAAAATTTTAAATGATTAATTTATTACCTTCATACATTTTAAATTTAATTAATTTTTGGGAGAGCTAAGGGCACATGTGGACAGGCACCTTAAGGGCACCTTTAGGGTCTTCTCGGAAAAGTTAGCAGTTGACCAGTTGATCCTCAGTGTTTAATTAACGTTTAATGATACCCTTGTCGCCATGTTGTCAGGTAAGCGATAGCGACGCTAAATTATATGAAAAAGTACGGGATACAGCCGTGTATGTAGCTCACATATATATATATTCAAATAATATCAAATGTGTTTGCGACGGTGTCCGCCGAGCTAACAAGGCTAATATTGCTTAATTATCTTTGCGTAAGTAAAGACGTATGTGTACGTGGAAACAGTTCCGCCGGAGTGTTCAGTCGCATTTAATGATGTCTGGAATTTTTTTTTTTTAATCTATGCACGTCGTGTCTTTTTCACTTTGTATGCAGCGATATCTAGATAACAGATAAAATGTAAATGCCTAAAAGGAAAATAAGTGTTTTAAATTTGCGAGGGAAGAGTGCGTTGCTGCTCATCTTGTGCTGAAATTAAAAATATTAAAATAAATTAACAACGCAACCCTTTCTAACCCTCTTATGGATATTCAGTAGCACTGGCTAGAAAAACTCTTTCGCGCTGTCCTGATCAATTTTCGTCTGGCTCGTCTCTCGCACTTGGTGTGGGCAGAAAGCAGTGTAAAAAGAGAAACTTACTTCAACTGTCAGATGGCTAACAGTGAAAGTAAATAATATAATTCAAAAGCCTAACGGTGAGAGGAAGTGGCTAAATATATCGCTGACTACCTTTTATTTGGTGAGTCTTCTGCTAAGTGGATGTATTACAGGACTTGGGGTAAAAGGAACATTTCATGCTCTTCTTCGTACTTGTGTGCTTAGAGCATCACTTGACTTGAAAATACATCGTTCTGCAACCTGCACCATGCAAGCGTTTCTCCAGACGCCCACGTCGTCCACATATAGTCTCCGCTTCCTACCTGGGATCAAGTGGCCAATTGAGCAGCTTTTCCGTTAAACCTACGTCACGTTGTCTTTGTTAGGCTGCCAGAAATTGAACAGTTGTTTGCTTTTTCCCGTTGTTTTATTGTGTTGGGTTGGGTTGGAGAATAAGTAGGTGGCTCCCTTGTTATAAACTCTGCCACAATGACAACAACACACACAGAGACACACACTTCCCAGCCCACACACAAACACACAATGTTATGAATGGCATGTGGGTGGAAGGTCCTGTTTGCTTTGTTTTGTAGTGTGTCCCCACACATTGTTGTATTAATGAGTGAGAGACTGAGAGAGAGAGCCGTGGAATTACCGCTGAACCCCTAAAAGTGTGACCCGGAGTTGCTGCCAATAATGGTTGCACTTTCTTTTTTTTTTTTTTGCCTCACGCTACACATTCTAAATATATAGTGAATAAAGCTTTTAGCGGCAAAGTGCACTTTAATCAAGTGTCTCTGTTTCTGTGGGTGAACTGCGCTTAGTAATGTTCTGAAAATGCATTCTGGGGGAGAGGGGTGTGTCATGGATGTACAAGGTTACGGAGACTGATCAGCATGCGGCGCCCAGCACTCTGCCTCTGGAGTGGCTGTTGTGTAAGAGTGTGTGGTATAGGAACATGTACATGGATGCAGCATATAACAGCCGGAGGGCATTCTACATCCACAGTCAGATTGGAAAAAAGTTTGTTTTCCCAGGGTGAGAAAGTTGTTTGTTCAGGAAATTAGGTTTGCTAAAGACAAAATTTTGTTTTTCTTTACATTTAACAAATTGGTTTTGCCTGGATAGACTTGAACTAACTGGAAAATGTCTCTCAATATTTTATTTTTAATATCTTTAATACAGACTATAATTCTGTATAGATGGTTTTTCGATAATCGTTATTACCCATGATGCATTGCGCAGTTGGCCATGTTGTGTGGCAAAAGATGCAAACAGGTAGATGTAAACAATTGATAATGACAACAAAAGACAAGAATATTAAATCGCCGGAGGAAGATTAGACAAAATTGTTGTATAGAGATTAACTGGACACAATTACAAAGGCAAGATACTTGGACAATTTGAAAATAATCAATGGCAAAGACCTATACAAAGTCAACAAAGCTGAGTGGAAGCGGGTGGACACTGAAAGTTGGCCGGACAATGTATATCATACGGTATTTATTTATTTTATTAACACCCAAATAATACAGGGTGTTAATGTAAAAATCACAGTGGCATGTACAGATGTATGTCTTTTGTGAACAGAATAACAGTTTACATGAAAAATGTTTTCCTATTGATTAGATTATACTTTTTGATATATTTTAATTTTATTGATGTTGAACATATGAATTAAATAAAAATATAATGTAATTACCCAACATAAAGTGTTCAGAACAGATTTTGTAATGCCTTTTGCCTGGATCAGGGTTGAAATTAGCACGGTTAATATGTAAAAGCCATAGCATCCTTCTTTCTGTCAAAATATCCTCCGTCAGCTTCCCTTGGTGACAGATCGCTTTATGTCAAAAAACTTCATCTTGCGATCTCCATTCCCAGATCAGTTGGAACAACCCCACACAACACAGGTATTTACCTTTATTGGTATTCTTTTGTGTATTTAAAATCTAACTATATGCTCTGTTGCCCCACAAGATGGCAGACTACAGAACTAGGGTAGTGGCGTGCCGTCATCGGAAAACTATCTATTGTATCTCTTATTATTTTGCCTTTTTTCTTCTGTTATTTAACTTTCTTTTGTTTTCACACTTGATATTATGGATAAAGCGTAAGGAGGTCAGTCTGGGGAAAGTGGTTAAGGATTAGATTTTAAAACAGGTTTATTTCTAATCTGCTTTGTTTCTTTTGTGCATTCATAACATTAGTATTCCTTCATACTTTGTCACCTTGGAACCCCTGCAGTAGGAAAGATCTCTGGAGAACTAGGTATCGATTGTGTCATTGTCATCTTTTTGTTTCTCATCAGATCAATAGCCAGCGATGACTTTGGTTGACAGGATGGGTTAACACAATAACTACAAGTTTGTCCAGTTCCCTTCAATACACTGTTTGTTTGACCAAGGTTTTCACAGCTGGGAAACGCCTCTGTTTTATTTTGTTCTCTCTTTGTCACCTACATACAGTAGACAGAAAGTAAAGTAGCCACTAAATGGGAAAAATAAACGATTTCCAAGTGAAAGCGTTATGCCGTAAGAGTAACATTTAGTCCTTACATTACATTTCACTTCTTGGATTAAAAAGGTCAGATTTATTAAAACAACATATGCTGTCATTTAGCTCCAGCCTTAAACCATTACTGAACAGTTGTTTATTTTATTTTATTTTTTATTTAATGGAAGGTCAGTTCCATAGTGAAGCGATTAGCATGCCTTCCTCAGAAGCAGAGAGACCTGGGTTCAATTCCCAGAGGAACCACATGTGTGGTGCCTGCTGGGGGCAACCTGTTAATTTGCCAAATATAGGATCAATATTGTACAAATGTATTTTATTTTATTTTTTTAACAAAAAAAATATAGTCTTTTAAAAAAATGTTCACAAACAATACTCAGCCGTGTTTATGAAGCCTCGTCTGCCAATCACTGACCTGGACATATATTTCGATAGACGATTGTCAGGCCATCTTTCAATCTTAACTTAATGTAATCTTTGCTAGTGTAGTGTATTTCATAATGTATAATGTGAAGGATTGACAGAAGAGTCAGAAATAATGCATGTCCTAAACCTTATTTTCTATATTTCATATAAAAAATGATGAAGTAGTTGTTATCCTTGTAACCCCACAGAGGAATGAATTTCTCCACCTCACCCCACCTTACCCAGCATACATCGTTATGCCCTGCAATGCACACTAACCTCCACACTTCACCCTGACTCCACATCATAATAGTTTGGTTTTTTTTTTAAAGAAAAACACCATAACTGTGACATTTCTCACAGTGTAATTATTTCCTTTAAGTACAGAATTAAGTGTGCGTGTCCAATCTGCCAACAGTTACAGGGAACACTCCCAGATGGTCAAACAGTAATTTTCCTGCGTTTGTAATCAGGACAACTGCTGTTAGTCAGAGTGTGTTTGCAGGCCAGAGTAGATTAGTGTGTTGTTTACCTGCAGTCCATCATTATTCCCAGGCAAATGCGTACTGTACTGAGTTTATGTGTACTGCCTAAAAAAAAAAAAGTTTTGTATGGAGACTGTGTCTCTGAGTGACAGCTGTGGTGTGCCTCCACAGTAAATCCCCACACCAGATAAATGTGTGAATCTCTATTTTAGTGCAAACAGCACAGGCGTGCGCACACACACCAAGCTGACACAAACACACGTAAATACACACATAAAATGATTGAAACCAATTCTGATGTGAACACTTGGTGTGAATAATATTTTTAATCTGTTTTCATTAAAGTCGGTGACAGCGAGGGAGGTTCAGAAGACAAGTGAGATGAAGGAAGGAAGAGAGGAAGTCGCAGTCTGTCTCCTGAGAATAGGTAAAGACAGTCATCTCATTGACACCTGTAAATGGAGTGTGTGTATGTGTGTGTGCGCGCGCAAAATAAAACGCCTGTCCGTGCGTGTATTAGAACACATGCAGCGGTTAATAAATAGTCTTCTAGTGTCACCTAGTGGACATTTTTGCATGAGATAATGACGTGCAATTCAGCTCTGCCACTGGAGGGCACTGTCAACCAGTTAGCACATTCTGTAGTCAGGGTTGTGTGACTATACGGTACCGATTTTGCTATAGATTTGTATATAAAATATTTATAAATTTGACGGTATTGGAGCCAAAAAAGTTATTTTTTTAAGGAACCCTGGTGCAGACAACTGTTTTAATAAATGGATATTGTAGACAGTAAAGCTTGGTTAAAAAATATTAAAATGAAGTACTCAAACTGTAAACCTAATATTAATTAAACTTAAACAGAATTATTGGAATCAACAGTTATTCACTTGTATTTTCTTTTTTAATATTTAATATGTAAAAAGGGCCTTTTTGTATAATTTCTAGAGCATGTTGAGAAATTAGCATTTATGCTCAGTAACAAGTGAGCTCATGTGTTGCTATTTCTGGAACAAAGCCATTTTTTTATTGTGAATTTTTTCAATATGAGACATAAAAACCAAATAAGGATCATCAAGAGGATTTCGAATGGAGTACTTTCACCAAGTCAGTACTGATACTTTAATTAGGTATCCTTGACACTTCCACGTGTCCTGGACCTGTACTTACTCAAGTGTTGACAATTCCTGGTCATGTTGTGTCATTATATCATTATGTCATTAAAATGTTACCTCTCATTGCACTCATCTTCACTCTTTGGAGACACTTGATATGATAGCTCTGGTTAAACAACGTAATCATCACTGTCTGGAGTTTTTATCAACTTAGAGGTTAACGCTGTAAAGACATGAGTGTACAAAATGATGAAATGTTAAACAGAAGTTTAGTCACAATAAGGTCACCACCAGAGGGTGGCTGTTGTACCGTATGATGCATCAAAAGTTTACCAGTAGTTATAACCTGAAAGATCAGCTGATGTTAATCCCTCTTTTATAGTTTAAATGACGTTTCAGGAACGTTGCTTTGACTACCCTTTTATGAACTCAATCACAGTTTGAATGTAATTGTCGCAACACTTCAATCAAATGTGACCTTTAGATTACCCATTGATTATTGTTATTTTAACTTCGTGGGTGTTTGAAGTAGCTCTGTGAACTGGAGTGAGCGGAAATGAGAAGTGTTTCAGAGGTTGTTTGACTGCAGACTTGAGACCGTTCACTGCTGTTAATCCTCCCAAGTACTAAGCACTGCTACTTTTAATGCCTCCGGTCTCGGCATGCAAGATTTGGACAAAGCGAGGTCGGCCCGAACACACCAAAAATAAAACACAGCCAGAATCACGCAGTGCATGTTTAAATAGAAATTTAATTTATCATTACTCGTATTTAATCCAACTTCAACTCTGGCCTGGTGGACCACAGAGCCATGACCTCAACCTTCCAGTAGGGGGCACAGCTTGCTCAACCTTCTAAATGCCAAAAATAGTCACAGACGTAGCAGTAAAAACTGTGAGTCAGTATAAATTGGTCAATCACAAAGTTTTACTGCTTATGCCTTGTTTGTTAATATAGATGGAGCTGAAACCATTCATTCATTATTTTTCCAGATTTTCCTGGTCAGGGTCAAGGACCAATCAGTTCTTCGGACGTGTTCGGACCAGTTATATACACACACACATATATATGTATATACTTATTTATATATATGTGTGTATATACCTATGTTGACTTTACAATGCATATTTGTAAAGAGTGTAAGGCACAGTTCAAGTAAAGAATCTTCATAATTGTCACCTTTGACATGTAACTCACTTTAATTACTGTGGATGATGTAAAGATTCATAAATAAGTCAGTAAAAACCTAAGATTCATCCACTCATTATTGCTGCCAATGGTCAGCACAGTGTTGTGTCATTAAATAAGACGTGACAGTCAGTCAGACGTCTCCTTAAAAAAACCAGCAGGCACAATAAGTCACATCAGCCGCTCAGACCGACCGGCTCCGACTGAGTCACATTATAATATTACCAATGTGGTCAACGTTAGTTTGTATTTGTCGTTTGCAGTCTCTTGCATCAGGAACCAGTTTGTGGATTACTGAAAGATTCAGCAATCAAGGTTCTTCAGCCGTGTGGCGCCAGCAGGTGCACTCCCTCTTGTAACACTGCACAACATGTAGTGCAGATAGTGTGCGTGTGTATGTGTTTTTGTGTACACATTAGACCAGTGCAGAGACTTCCTCCTCAGCACAGCACGTCCGTCTCAAACTGCAGCAGCTGTCCCATGAAGGCCAGGTTGGGGGAGATGACGTGACGCCGCTGCTTCACAAAGTCGAAGGCCTCGTCCAGTCGAACCCGCTGCGTGTGCATGAGGTAGGCCAGACAGATGGTGGCAGAGCGGGAGATTCCTGCCTGACAGTGGACCAGCACACGACCACCACTGTGCTTCACTGTGTCTGTGGGCGGAGGCAGAAAGAGGAAGATATTATTATTATTATTATTGTTATTACTATGTATTATTAGTATTATATGCACACAGGGATCACAAAAAACAATAGCTTAGAAAATTTAAAGTCACTTTGATCATTCTTTATGCAGTTTACCGTTAATGAAAATAAACTAAAAAAAATTTAATTAAACTTTAATTCAACAAGTCACACTTAAAATGCATTAATCTTTTTTTTTGTCGATGTGTGTGGCTGTCTTCAGGAAGCAAACGTTGCGCAACTCCCTGCTGTGGTTACCTGGGGTTTATTTCTCTAGGGCATTAACATGATCCTCATTATGAGCTTAAGTGACCACCTTAATTACCACTGTTTTTAATGCCACTCAATGTGTGGTTAAAATCAGCTACATGTTCAGTGACTGTGGAAATGTTGATTTTCAAAATAAAAGTTGATTTTCAGAATCAAAGGGAATTATTTTTTCATCTTCTTCTCCTTCGTGTTAAGTTTTTTGTTTTGTTTTTTTATATTTTTCTTTTACAAATTTTTCAGGCTGGAAACTGAGGGTGAACGCACCGATGAAGGCGATGGCGGTGGAGAAGTAGGCTCTGATGTCAGCAGCCAGACTGTCCTCCACGGTCAGCTGCAGATACTCAAACTCCTCCTCATAAAGGTTCGGACAAGACGATGAAACGTTGAGCACAGCTGTGATGCCTGCTGCTGCCAGAGCCTCTCTGCGGGAGGAGTGGACAGCACTGCCCAGAAACAGGAAAGGCAGCAGCTCCACCGGGCCGTCCTGCAGTTACACAAACACAAAGGGTGTACACACAAAGAATTATTGGTTGTCTGGTGCATCTTAAAAAAAAATATACATATATAAGAAATTAGTTTTGGCATGACCATATTTAAGAAGAGTTTTAATTTTATATTTCTCAAACGGTGGGTCTTGACACTACATGGACAATAGAAATGAAGAAAAAAAAAGGATTGCGCATTTCTGTCTTAACCAAGTTTTAACCAAAATGATTTAATTGTAATCTTCATTCAAAAAGAGACAGGATTAAGTACTGCTCTACTCAAAGGCAGTAGTCGTGGTGTTCAGCCCAGAATGTGGGTTGTGACCCAAAGACTTATGTGAAGCATGGATCTTAAAGACCACCGGGTACTTGAACACTCAAAATTGTAAAAAAGTATACAGTGCTCTATCCAGATTACTGAAATCCCTCAGCTGTATGTTTTGAGGAGAACTCTTAAATATGAGAAATTTACAGTTATTTGAATTGTTCTTCTTCTTATTATTATTATTTTTATCAGACATTCCTTCCGTACCCGGTCATATGCTGGTGTCCTCTGGCCCATCAGTGCTGGTTCTGGTTCTACTATAGAAGAGTGACTGCTGGCACAGGTGTAACAGAGCTCAGGAGAGGTCGCTGAAAATCCTTCGAATCCACCTGGACAGAGGTGACTTAGTATTAGTGCCAGTATCAGTTAAGTATTACCACAAGGGATAAAAAAAACTACAATACGGTAGTTGGTTTGAATCTCTCATCTGGTGATGAAGATGTTCACACCAAGTAAAAAATGAGACTGTAAAGACTTCAAACAACTGAAATGACTGAAGACAAAGTGTTTAAATCAATACACAAAACAAGTGTAAAGTTTTAAGAAAACTAATTTCCTTAATGTAATTAAATTGGTCACTTCAACCAAATTACTTACATACGAATTAAATAACCTCTGTTTACTTAAACTTTACTTATATTTGTTTTTGTTGACAATACTGAGTTTAACTATTTCTTTCAACGAATTTCCCCAATAAAAAAACGTTTTAAATTGTAAATGAAGTTTCAGAACCTGTACGTTGTCAACTGTATCGTTCTTCTATTTAATAGTTATTTTTTTAATTAGTATTTTTTATAAATTAATTAATCATTTTTATTTTACGTTACCTTGTAGGAAGCAGATGCGCGTGTGGACCTCGTTCTGCAGGGCTGTGAGCAGCATGTGGGCCACACTGTCGGACTTCACCTCGGACACGCAGCGGCTCCTCTCGTCCACAACCACCACAGGTGAGTAGTCCCCGCGCCGCAGCCGAGCCAGCAGCGCCTTGTCCGGGATGAGCCACTCCAGGGCCACCAGGCTGCTCTTGGACCTGCGACGCATCATGGAGTTCCAGTTGACGTTGCGGGAGTCGACGATGTGCGCACGGGAAAATTCGAGGAAAGGTCTGCAGTCGAGCAGCACGGAGCCAGCAGTGGAGATCTGGTCCCGGGGCGTCCTGAGGATGTGGAGCAGCTCGGTGCTGCTGATATTCAAAGCCATGCTTAAGGTGCGTGTATTTAAAATAACCTTTTAAAAAAGAGTTTAAAATATATATATTAGTTAATTAAATTTAGCTTGATAGTGTCTGTGAAGAGACACACGACATTTAGACTTTGGAGTTTCACTTGTTCATTGATAACAGATGTGGGAGGGGCGGGGTTAGGGGGAACGCCTCATTTTCCACCGATAGGACGTCACAGACGGAACGACCATATATGGTTCGACCGTCACTCCACATATGGTCAATGACGCGAGGTGTGTTTTTCCTAGCGGGCACGTTGTCGTTGAGATTATCCTCCCGTGTCTCTGGTGGGTGACGTTAAACCCCGGAGGAGGAGGAGGGAGAGAGAGAGAGAGAGAGAGAGAGAGAGAGATGTCAGGGTGACAGACAAACACCTGCACACACACACACACACACACACAGGTTACACATCCTCTCCATGTTTTCACTTTGTTTACCACATGTTTTACATCAGTTTGGTCTCATTAACTACCGATAAACAGTCACCACAGACCTGACTGAACTTGTCTAACACACGATTTTACTGTAAATTGTTTTGTTTTTTTTGTTTTTTTTAACGTATTTATACTGCGAAAATAAGAAAATCCTAAAGCTCTGGAAAACACTTGTTCCAGGTCAGAATAGCGTAAATTTAAATGAGATTAAATTAAATTTAGAAAAATATATATTTTAAATTACATTGTGTAAAAAGAATAAAAACTTCACAGCTGTTTTTACACAAACAGCCACACATTGTAATACATTTTTTCATCCTTAGTAGCACAGTTGTTACAGAATATTTTAACACGTTCACATTTAAATTTTTATGTACAAAAAGTACCCATTGTCAGTGAAAGACATGGTAATATAATCATTTGAATGTTAACAGTCTGAGTCTAATTATCCAGTGATGACTCACATGACATGTGACACCCTAACACACACACACACACATTAAAACAGTCTGGTCTTTTCAGATGTGTGGCTCCGAGGGCCCTTCAACGATGAGCGCTTAAACTATTAGCGTATATAAATACTGTTTATAACTGCTATTGTTCAACGTGTTTTGTGGTTTGTTGGGGGGGGGGGGGGGTTCAAGGAAATTTAGGTTTATTACTGGATTTACACAGTTTAGCAGTGTTCCTGTGAGACAGGCTTTCATCTTCACAAAAAGGAAACTCACCACAAAGGGATCAAACCTGTAACGTTCATGCTATACGGCAAGAGCACTAAACGCTTTACCAACATTATATGAAAAAATATTTGAGGATCCTGTGTGTACGAAATCTGGATTATTAGGTTTATTCTTGTTAACGTCAGATGTACGACTTAAAACAAAAATGTTTGTGATGTGATGCAGCGTCATTTTACATCACCGTCTAACAAAACCCCTGACTGCTGTTTTTTTTTCTATTTTCCCCAGAATCTCCCACTTACTCCTACTTCCTCTCTCTCCTTACTTGTCCTCCCTGACTGCTGCTGTTTTTCAGGCTGCCCCACTGAGGCTGAACTCCCCTGAGCGCTTTAGACACACACTCTCTCACAGTCTATTATTGCTGTCATGAAATCTGCTGAGTAGGCATTAACTGTCACCTCACCTTACCCTAACATAGACACAGTGATTGTGTTGAGCTGAAGGAAGTTGTGACGTCAGCATCGTGTTTGTGCGAGTCTCTGAGGTGCCTGTTTCTTTTTATTTGTCTTCCTCTCTAGTTGTTGTCTGTCATCCGCGTCTGAGCAGCACAACAGGAAGCCACATTACGTCTATTTCCTCTCATCATCCCTACCATGCCGCCACCCTCCTCCCATGGGTTACATCATTACCTTCAGCCTTAGTCACGCTCCCTACGGTTCATTAAGCAAACCTGGCCACCTTGGCGTTTAACCTTTCAAAAGAGAAATTCCATGGAAAAGTTGAGCCAGAATCAATAATCCAGAGGTGAGTAAATTGCGTAATCCTGTTGTGGAAAATTACAAAACTTTTTTTCACTTTGACTCAATCCACACATAGTTTTGCTTCAGTCTGCAAATCAAAGTGAGTAAAAAAATCAGACCAACACTCATCAAGTCTGAAAAAAGATGCAGGGGAGTGGGTGTTGACTGATCGACAGGAAATGGTCTGGTCAAACATGTTTCGCTCTAAAACAGGAAGCGTAAAAAGCAAATAAAGGATTGTGACATCTGACAGACAATGACTACCGTAGACCACCCCACCACCAGCCAGTCAGCAAAAAAAAGTGAAAGCCTACCACTGTTAGTATTATTACTTTCGAAATGCAAGTGTCCGCATGCATTTACTTAGAATTTTCGCAAAATTTTGGGGGAAAAATATTTTTTTACTTGAAAAATTATGGGGGATTTTCCTGGTCCCAGGTCATGAAACTGTTTTTTGTTTTTTTCGCATCGTTAGATGCACCCTATAAAAACCTGTTGCCAAGTAATTTTTTTAACATAATATAATTTAGCATGAATATATATATATATATATATATATATATATATGAGGATTGCACTGATATAAAAAAAACGATAAAATAAAAATTCATAAATGAAAGTCACACTCTCCACAAGTTATAAACACCTTAATAAACACTAGAGGCTTCAGGATTCAAAATTCGTCATTTTTTGGCTTGAAAAAAACCCCCCAAAAAACAAGAAAATCCACAACAAAGTAAGAATTAGAAAATCGTCAAAGCTGTTGGAGTGACGTGTCTCGACATGTTTCCATGTGTTAAATAATTCACCTTTGAACTTTTTGACTTGCAAATTTCAACACACTGTACAATTGTGTGTGTAACTAAGCGTTAAAAGAAAATAAAAACTTGTAAAGATCTGCTGCAGTCCTAACCCTTCTCCCCCCAGTCCTAACCCTTCTCCCCCCAGTCCTAACCCTTCTCCCCCCTCTCATGTTTTTTTTCTGCCATGACTTCATCCAGGATTAATTGAGTGGCTGCCGTTATTAAGCTCTGAAAACACGTAATCTGGCGGATGTACAGTAGTTCATCCCATCATGGACGGCCACGTGACGACCACGGGCTTCACAGTCGGACCAAACACATCTGTGCTGACGGATCAAAGCTACTAAATTACAGGAAGCCCCCCACATCCCCTCACCCCCCCTTGTGGTTCATGATGCTTTTTTATTTGTCTGAGGCAAATTTAGGCTTTGGTTAATATTTCAAAGACAGTAACTGGAGAAAAAAACAGTCACGATTAATGAGGACAGACAGTGACAAGCACTTAAACAGCAAGAAAACAAATTTATAATATCAATATTGTTATGGATGATTTAGGTGGAAATAATGATAAAAAAAAAACAATTTTTGTTCTCCTTCCAGTACCTCGGTGATGACTAAAGACTAACTTCTAGGGACAGGAGCAAGAACAGGTATTAAACATTAACATCACTGTGTCATGAGTTGGTTTTAGGAACCAGTAGAGCCGCTGTGGTGTCAGGCCATAGTGTTAACGTATCTTGTGACCAGGTTTCAAAACCCACAGTATCCCTTTCCTAAAGTGGTCATGGGTACCCCTATGGGGGGCACGAAGCAATTGCGGGGACAGGGACAGCATAACAGTTGTTTTGTCTTTGTTCAATGAAAATGTAAATTAAAAAAACAAACAGAAAACGGTGTCCTTTCTACCAAATGGGGGGGCGGGGGGGTTGGTAACAATTGTTTACTGGTTTATAAGGTCAATTGTTTGATTCATGGATTATGGATATGATATAAATGGTTAGTATTGGTTACAGTATGCAGCTCTTCTCTAGTCGTTGACTACTCTACTACTAAGGATTTTATACTTTGAGTTTAACCACATACCTAATACTGAGAGCAAGGCAGTGGCAGCAGGGCAGGTGTGGGTACCACAACCGCCTTGTGGTACCCAACACTACCTATTGAGCTACATCCCTAATGCGTGCCACAGCCCTTTCTCCATCATCTACATTTTCAGTTGAATAAATCTGAAACATACCATGCACAATTAATACAACATTTAAACATAAACATATTTCGAAACATTTCTAAACATCTCTCCTGTGGTGGAAGCGAACAGTGAAGGTCTATGCTGCTATATTCTAATGTTGGTCATCATGGTGGTACTCAGAGAGATCAAGGTTTTCTCAGGTGGTACAGAGTAGAAACAGTTGGAGAACCACTGGAATAGTGTATATAGGGGTTAGCATTCAGTGCTACGCCAAGAGATAGCATTAAAGTTTTAGCCTTTTAGTTTAGTGCCAGCAGCCCATAAACACCATCTTTCCCACAGAGTCTCCTTCACATGTGGCCAACTCCTGTTGTCACATCCATTTAATTTCTGGCCATGACACTGTGGGGTTCACTGGCAGATGTATTTAAAGTACAGGTCAAATACGCACCCTGTGATTATAGGGAGTATTTGCTGCCTACAGTTTCTTTATCCTGCTGAGTTTTCTGTGGTTTCTCCCCTCAGTCCTCCCCCTCCTCTGTGGTTCCTCTGCTGATTCATTATCATCATCCTAGCAAAAAAGAACACCTCATTTTAACACACACATGAACCCGAAATAACATCACTCGCTGTGTTAACCACACAGACTAATCTCTCGCTGTGTTTCTCTCTCCCACTCTTTCACACACACAATTCAAAAACTTCTGATATGGATTAACATTTTAAGAAGTATCTGATTTTAAGAAGTAACATTTAACATTTTTATCATACTTACCAAGCGTTGAGCTATGCTGAAAAATGAAGTTTGAATTTAGAGTAAACATCATGATTTTTTTTACCGATACATCAAAAAAAATATATACACACACAAATATATATATATATATATACTGTATATATAAACATATGTATGTTGTGTATATATATAATTCCATATACACATATATTAATATATATATATACTTTTGCATTCTGAGTGTCTCAATACATGTTCTGCAACTTTTTGTCTTTTTTCGACATGTATATATATATATATACAAAGATACATATATGTATATATGTGTTTATATATTTTTTTCAGACTATACAAAATGTATACATTTCTTTTTTCGTCATTTTGTCATGTCATGTATACCTGAGTTTTTACATATGTTTTTAGTTTGTATTCCTATAGATACTTCACAGGTTTGAACTGTGGCTAGATGAAGAGTCAGTTCTTCAGGAGGC